CATCCTTCACCACATAAACAGAACTAAAACAGAAATCATGTGATCAATAGATGAAAACCCTCAATAAACCAGACATTGAAAGAACATGCCTCAAAATAATTAACAGTCATATAAGACAAACCCAGAGCCAGCATCATACTGAAAGAGGAAAAGTTAAAAGCATTCTTAAGATCTGAAACAAGACAAGAATGCCCACTCTCGCCACTCCTATTTGACATAGTACTGGAAGTCCTAGCTGGAGCAATCAGGCAAGAGAAGGAAATACAAGGTATCCAACTTGGAAAAGAGGAAGTCAAATTATCTCTGTTTGCTGATGACATGATTGTATACCTAGAAAACCCTAAAGACTCTTCCAATAGACTCCTAGACTTGATAAACAACTTTGGTACAAAGTTTCATGAGATAAAAAATCAATGTACAAAGATCAGTAGCATTTGTATACACCAATAACATGGAAGCAGAGAACCAAATCAAGAACTCAATCTCATTTACAATAGCCACACTAAAAAAAAAAAAAAAAGGAAAGAAAGAAAGAAAAAAAAACTAGCTAGGAATACATTTAGCCAAGGAGGTGAAAGATCTCTATAAGGGTAACTATGAAACACTGATGAAAGAAACCATAGATGATGCAAATGGAAAAACATCTCATGCTCATGGATTGGAATAATCGATATTGTTAAAATGACCATATTCCCTAAAGCAATCTATAGTTATGACACAATTCCTGTCAAATTTTCAACATTATTATTCACAGAACTAGAAAAAAAATTCTAAAGTTTATATGAAACGAAATAAAGTCTAAGTAGCCAAAGTAATTGTAAGAAAAAAAAATCCAGAGGCATCATACTGCTTGACTTCAAACTATACTACAACACTGTAGTATAAGCATGGTACTAGTACAAAAATGGACATGTAGATCAATGAAACAGAATAGAGAGCCCCAAAATTAAAGCTACATACCTACAATTAATAGATGTTTGACAAAGTCAACAAAAATAAACAGTGGGGAAAGGACAGACACCCTATTCAATAAGTGGTGCTGGAAAAATTGGCTAGCCACATGCAGAAGAGTGAAACTGGATCCTATCTCATTGTAAACAAAAATTAATTCAAGATGGATTAAAGACCCAAACAAGATCTGAAACTAGAAAAATCCTAGAAAAAAAAAAAACTAGGAAAAATGTGGCTATCAGCCTAGGCAAATAATTTATGACAAAGACCCCAAAAGCAAATGCAACAAAAACAAAAATAGGCAAATGGAACTTAATTAAACTGGAAAGCTTCTGCACAGCAAAAGAAATGATCAACAGAGTAAACAGACAATTTACAGAATGGGAGAAAATATTTGCAAATTACGCTTCCTACAAAGAATTAATATCCAGAATATATAAAGAAATCAAACAACTAAACAGAAAAAAACAAGCAACCTTATTAAAAATTGAGCAAACGATATGAAGACGTTTCTCAAAAGAAGAAATATAAGCAGCAAACACATGAAAAAATTCTCAACATTGCTAATTATCAGATAAATGCAAATTAGCACCACACTGAGATATCATTTTACACCAGTCAGAATGGCTATTTTTAAAAAGTCAAAAAACAACAGATGTTGTTGTGGATGTAGACAAAAGGAAACTTTCATACACTGATGGGGGAAAAGTAAATTGGTTCAACATCTATGAAAATCAGCATGGAGACTTCTGAAAGAACTAAAACTAGAACTACCATATGATTCAGTAGTCCAGCTACTGGGTATCTATCCAAAGGAAAAGAAATCCTTATACTAAAAAGGCACCTGTACTAGTATGTTTATCTCAGCAATAGTCACAATAGCAAAGTCATGGAACCAATGATTGACCAGATAAATAAAATGTGGTATATATACACTATGAAATACTATGCATCCATAAAAAATGAAATCATGTTCTTTGCTGCAACGTGATGGAGAGGGAGGCCGTTATCCTAAGTGAACTAATTCAGAAACAGAAAATCAAATACCACACGTTCTCACTTGTGAGTGGGAACTAAACAATGGGTACACATGGACATACGGATGGAAATAAGAGACGCTGTGGACTCCAAAAGGGGAGAGGGTGGGAGGGGGATGAGGGTTGAAAGACTACCTATTGGAAACAACGTTCGTTATCTGGGTGATGGGTACACTAGAAGCCCAATCTCCACCAGTACACAATATACCCATGTAATGATCGTGCACATGTACCCTCTGAATCTAAAATTCAAAAAGGCAGCCCACCTGCAACTCAGTCCACCTGCATGATCAAGGGCTGTGTCCCTTTTCTCCCTTCACTAGGGTGAGGAGCCCCTGACTGATGCCAAACCTGGGCGATCAACTCAGCTGGAGAGGAGGAGGCAGGGCAGGAGTGGCCCATGGAAGCATGGCTGGCAAAGTTCCCTCTACCTGCCCCTGCTATCACTGTTCAACACAGAAAGCCTGGGAGGGTCCCTGTGGGTGGCCAGAGTGGAGGGGCCCTCCCCTCTGATGTATTCTGAGCTCACCTTCTTAATATATGACTTCCTCCCTTGAGGGATGAGGAAGGATGACAGGCCCTAGCTTGAGTTCACATTGGCTAAACTCCAAAGGCTCTCAATCCCCATTAACAAACAGGTATGTTGATTTCACCAGGATCACATAAAGCTCTTCATGAAATTACACATACATTTCTTCCTATGGGGTCTCAGAGTTGCAGGGATGGGAAGCAACATCTTTATGTTTCCACATGGGTAACACAGAAGAAATAAAGTCTCTACACTTTCATGTTATTTAAACTCCCTTTCTGCCTAATGAAAGCTTTCCCACACTTTTCCTGGTGTCATGAGTACAGTGAACATTTTCTCCCTTAGTGTTGAGAGATACACAGTCCCAGACACCTTGTAAAGTTGCCTTGGCTGCTCTGGGCACATTTGTATATGGCTGTAGGCATTAGGCAGCTGGGCCAGGCAGTCTAGCGCCAGAGGGTGTACTGTCTGGCTGGCTGTCCCTTCCCACACCTGCAAGGGCATGCATCCTACCTCTCTGGACCCTGTCTCATTGTGCTGCACACAGGCCATGCACCTGCTCACCAGGTACCAGGTGCCCTTATCATAAATATCTCCACCTATCTTAGCAATGAGGTGGGAACGCTCAATTCTTTGTGAAAATCTCTGTATTTACAGGACTAGAGGTGTTTTGTTTTGTGAAACAAAAACTCTCTCAAAAACAAAGCAAGACAAAAAATTGATGTAGCCAGTCCTCCTATTCCAGGAAGAATGTTGAGAAGTGAAGTGTGGAGGGGCAGCATGTTCTCGAGTACCCACAGCTATTCCGGGAAAGAGCCTCCAAACAGGGAAAAAACAAATGACTGGGTCCCGTCCACCCCCAGGACTCTAGCACCCTCTTCCATTTCCTCAACATTGACCTGGCTTATTTCTCTGGACGCCTTGTGCAGGGCGTTGTGCGCCTGGAAAAGCCTCTCATAACCAGCTTGGGAGACAGATCTGCAGACACGGAGGGGAGGGGCTGGGGAAGGGTGGGAGAGACTTGCTTCCCACCATGGCAGCTGGCAGGACTCAGATGCAGACTCCAGGCTGCGGCAGGACAGGCGGGTGCAAGATGGAGAAGGGCGACAAGAAAGAGTAACTCCTCGGGATGATGGCACTGAAGGTCAAAGTCATGCGACCTAGAGAAAGCCCCCAAAGCCCTACACACATAGGCAAGCCATAAAGTCTTAAAAGAAAAAGGGAGGGGGGACAGTGTGGTTATCACTGTCAAATTAGTCAATACTGTTTAAAATCCAAACCTGGTATATTTTTAAGTTGTACTTGTCTTTCAGAATTTCTATGGAAAAGCATAAATATTTCATTCCAGTAGATGGGGGAGATGGAGAGCTGTTTATTTACTCTCAAAGATAGATTCGGAATGACTGGACAACCTCAGCCATAGCCCCCCAGGTGGTCCCCTCCTGACGTGCTCAGGAGTCCCATGTGGGGTGCCTATGGCCTGTGTGGGTGGCACCTTGGGCAGTCATGCAGCCACCATGTGCACACGGTGGGCGGTAGGATACTGCCTGTTGACACTCATCTCTGTTGGGGCTGTGGCTTCTTCTATGGGGACAAATGATTAAGGAGGGAAGTTTATCTTTTCTAGTGAAATGAGGAGGATTACCTGAAATTTGCCTGGTCTTGGGGATGGTGTGGGGTATCTGGAAAGATAATTAGCATTTCCAGAAAGGGCCTCACTGCCTTCTGGGACACATTCAGAATTTGAGTAGCCAAAAAATGGAAACCAGGGACAAGAAGATGAGGAGTACAGGAAATGAGATATGCAAGTATTTTTCCCTTCAAAAAGCTAGGGAGGGGCCAGGTGTGGTGGTCCACGCCTGTAATTCCAACACTTTGGGAGGCCGAGGTGGGTGGATCACCTGAGGTCAGGAGTTTGAGACCAGCCTGACCAACATGGTGAAACCCCATTTCTACTAAAAATACAAAAACTAGCCAGGCGTGGTGGCAGGCTCCTGTAATCCCAACTACTCAGGAGACTGAGGCAGGAGAATCGCTTGAACCTGGGAGGTGGAGGTTGCAATGAGTTGAGATCACACCATTGCACTCAGCCTGGGCAAGAGAGCAAGACTCTGTCTCAAAAAACAACAAAGAAAACAAACAAACAAAAATCTGGAGAGAGAGACACAGCATTGAATTCTTATTTCAAAGACTTTTTGGGCTTTTTAAATGGAGAATTTGGCCTAAGACCTCATGTGTCCCAGCCCTTGATAAAGTCGGGGCTGTTGGGAGTAGAATGCATCCATGCCTGGCATCCCCACGGCACCAGGGCGCTGTGTCGTGGCAGGTGCAGTATAAATCCAGCTCACTCATAGGACAAGCTCCCTGGTGACAAACACTTCCGTTGATCAGCAAGAATTCAACTCCTTTGACCATAAGAAAAGACTCCAATGTATATGTCCAGTTCAGCAACAAAAGCCTGTTAATCTTGGGTATTTGGTGCCTTAGAAGTTGGGCTCCGAGGGAGGGAGGGACAGAGGGGGTTCTGCAGTGTGCCTGAGCAGTGGGGACAACAGCGGCAGGATCCTGGAGGGAGGCCTCGAGCACCTAGCAGGGAGGAGGTGGCACCTGGAGGAGCAGGTGACGGGGAGGCACTGCCGGCCAGGTTGAAGGCAGCTCTTTGGGCTGCACAGAGTCTGTGCTTGGGAAAAGTACTCCGGGCTGTGTCTCAGGCAGATCCTAGGGCTGCAGGGAGCCTGTTTGAGGGCGAGGCACTCCCGGCTGTGTCTCAGGCACATCCTTGGGCGGCAGGGAGCCTGTGGTAGGGAAAGGGACTCCTGGCTGTGTGGAAAGCAGATCCTTGGGCAGCAGGGAGCCTGTGCGTATTGGGACTGTGCAAGAGCTAAGCTGAGGTACCTCCCCTGTAGGGAAGAGAAGAGAGAGAAGGTCACTGTGATGCCATTGGAATTGGGCTCAGAAGGCTGCGGCTGCCTGGCTCAAGGGGTGGGGCCAGGACCCATCAGGACCCACAGGGTGGGCCTTGCTGAGCTCCTCCTCTCTCCCCTGGGTGCTGTCTCCAGCCTGGACTCCTCCTTCCAGACTTGGCTCTAGCGTTAAAAGTCCTCTCTGCCTCTCCAGGCAGCCCTGGGTCTCTGACTCTGGACTCCCTCAGCCCTCGGTTGAAATTGTTTGCTTCCCCCTGGCAGCTAGGAGGAGGTCCCAATTACCTCTGTGCCCCAGCATGGCCTGGAAGGCTCTAGTGAGCATGTGGAAGGGATGAGCGCTCACCACAGCCCTCAAGGCTGGCTCCAGGGTCCCTTGGGTGGGTGATGAGCTGAGAAAGCAGCAGCTCCACGGTTCCCTTGGTTTGGGAAGAGGATGATACAGACCCGTAGGAACAGCTAATTCTGTCTTGCAGAAGCAGCTGCTTTGCTTTCATCCTGGGCACACACCAGTGCAGCCAACCCACCACCCACACAGCTGCAAGCCACACAGAGATTGTCTCTGGGTTCGTCTGCGATGCCTGTCTCTCTGCTGGCTTCTTAGGCCAACGATCGGGGCAAGTCTGTCTGAAGACTTGATCTGGGCCTTTCTAAAAAGCCCTCAGGGTTACTCTAAGTAAGGTCAAAGGGACTGGGGTTTAATCTAGCCTCCAACCTCAGGCAAGTCACTCAACCTCTTGGGAATGGCTTTCCCATCTCTCAAATGGGCCCAGCAATACCAAACACAGATTGGTCACCCCAAGTCCATTCTTCCTGTCTTCCTTACTAACGAGACCTGATTTTGTTAAGAGAGGCAATGTGCGCAACAAACCACTATGGCACATATTCACCTATGTAACAAACCTGCACATCTGCACATGTATCCCAGAACTTAAAATTTAAAAAAAAAAAAAAGAGGCAAGGTGCTCAGCTGTAAAATGACCTTTTCCCAGTCTCCCTTGCTGAGCAACGTGGCCATGTGAATGCATTCTGACAATGGAATATAAACAGGAATTGTTGGGCATTGCTTTAAAGAAGGCTGCTTTCCCTTTTTCCTTCTTCTTCCTGCCTGGAGTATGAGTGTGATGGCTGGAGCTCCAGAAGCTATCTCATAAGCATGAAAGCAAATTGAAAGGTTAGGTTTCCCCAAGGCTGTTCTCTTGGAGCTTAGCAGGCAGGCAAATAGATAACAATCTTTCTCAGAGCCCCTCAGCTCTCCCATTTCTCGATTTGTATAGGCTGTCCTCTGTTTCTGGAATGTTCTTCCTAATGTTGTCTGCCCAGTGAACTGCCGCTCACCTTTTCAGACTCAGCTCCCGAGTGGCCTCCTCCAGGAAGCCCCTTATCCTTGCTCCCAGCTAAAGTGACCACCCTGCTTTGTCTTTCTGGTCATGTGCTGGCAGAAGGCTGAGCCCATTGTGGGAATTGCCCTGTCCTTCTAGATGTACCTGTCCCTGCTCTGCATGCATGAGGACTGTAACTGCATCCCCTCCCGCATCTGTGGCTGGAGGGCTGCAGCAGGCTCCCAGGATGCCGGTGGGCATATGCCACTTCACCTTGACCTCCCCATCTGTGATGTGGTGCTGACGATACCCACAGACCACGGCAGGAGCAGCAGCCCATCAACGCCTGTGGTTTCCCTGGCGTGGGGCCTGCTCAGCTCCTTCTCCACTCAAGGCCACCCTTCCCAGGCTGTCTGGAATCCCAGGGGTCCCCTGCCAGGCCAGTCTCAGCCTAATGGTTCCCAGGAAACCCTCCATTCCGCACAGGTATTCCCCAGAGCGTGCAGACTTTGAGCTTGCTTGAACCTGTCATTCATGCATAAAGCCTCCCCTTGGGCATGTGAGTGACAAGTGCCTCAAACGCTGGATTCCCTTAAAGAGATGGTCTCTCTCTCACTGACAGCGGCCCTTCTCCCCTCTAGGCTCCATCCTGGGACCTTCCCTCTCCTGCCCCTGCCCTCCTAATCCCCATCCAGGATGATGCTCACTTTCCCCTTGTGCCCCCTCAGACCCTGTCCTGAGCCACCTGTGTCTGCAGCTGCCTGTCCACCCTCCTCCATGCCTGACTGGGCTCCTGCTACCTGTTCAGGGATTCAGGCTTCCTTAGTACAACCCAAGTGTGTTAGCCTGCTCTCCCTGGCTCCACCCATCCCCAAATCTAGTCCTTCCGGCACCGTCTTCCCTTCCAGCTCATACCCTCCAGAAATGCTCTGCATTGCTGGCAAGATCCAGTCCCTCCACCCAGCCTGCACGCCAGACCTTCCCCTGCCAGGCTCTTGGGGTCTCCACACCCTGCCTTCAGGCAATCAAATCCCAGCTACTAGAAGAGCTGGCTGTGCCCTGGCACCCTCCCTTGCTCCTCTGCCTTGAGGGCTCTGCTCCTTACCTTTCCATGTTGCACATCTAAGCCCAGCCATCCTGAGCCTCAGCCTCAGCTCTGATGCTGCCTCTGACAAGCTGCCTTCCTTGAAGGGGAGCATCCTGGTCCCAAAGCCCCAGAGCACTAGAGCTGAGTCTCTTTCTCTTTCTCCAGCCTCTCTCTCTCCTTGCAGCACAGAGTTGGGGTCCCTTCACATAACAGCACCCTCACCCTGCCTGCCCCAGGTCACACACAAAGATCAAGGCCGAACCCAGAGCAAGAGCGACCAGAGAGTCTATGGGCTTGGCCCAGACCTCCACCTGGAGGCACACAGATGATTTCTCCACCTTTCCTTGGGGCTCAAGAAGGTTCAGCACTGTATTGCACCCACCACTGCCCTCCTGACCATAAGCTGACTGGACCCAGAGTGCAGGTCACTTCATCAGTGCTGGGCCACAGTCCAGGCCTCCCAGAGGTGGCTTTGTCATGGGGGCTCAAAACCCCACCTCACTCTTCCTGGGCACCACCCAGACTATACGGCCCAGGCAAGATCTTGGCATCTGCTCAGTGCTCTCCTCTGTCCACTCAGGCCTCACCCCCAACCATTTTTCCTCTGCCCCCTCCTGGGGGCAGCCAAGGCCATTGTGCTCACACCCTCTTCTGGCATGGTTAGAAGGCATGGCGGAACCAGAAAGGATAATGCCACTCCCAGAAGGAGGTGGCCCCTCCTCCTGGCACTGCCCACCCAGCCTGGGGGACCTGTGATGATGTTGTGAGGGGCTGCCTCTGTTCATCTTTGTGGGAGGGGGAAGTGCCAGCTATGGGGTTCCAGGGGCCTGCTAACTGCTGTCCACTCGTTTCTCCCTGCCTTCCATCAACCCTGACACCAGCGCTGGGTGAGGGCAGGGGTGAGTCACCCTGCCCAGCCCCTGTTCCTTCCTTTTATTCATCTCTACTCACAGCTATTCCTTCTTTTTATCCATCTCTACTCACACATTGTGAGTCCACTAACATTTTTAATAAGTTACCCTTTTACCATGAAGATGAAAAAAAAAACAAAAACACCCAGATGCTTACAAAGAAAGACCTTCTGATCAGCCAGGTCTTCCTGCGATAAACACCTTTACTCCATGGCTTAAAACTGAGCTTCGAGCCACTGTAAAGGACTTCCCTGACCCAAGGATGAAGCCTCAAGGGTTTACTGAGGAATTTAGAATGGCTCCCTGACCTTAGCCAATTTATTCACATAATATTGGGGCCTGGAGAAGCTAAGAAATGGATGGCAGCAGCAGAATGGGGTGGACCTGAGGAGGATATTAAAGACCCCCGAAAACCCCTGCATGAGAAGGGGTAAAAGGAGCTAGAAAAAAATGCTGAAAACATTTTACATTCACGTCCTAAGATCATTCCAGAAAAAACTGACTGGTGCATCATCCAACCCTGCAGACCAAAGCAGGAGGAACCAGTTTCAGATTACAGAACTTGTTAGAAACACTGTTTCTGAAACATTTTGTGCTCAATATAGCAAGGAGTATTTCCTTCAGGGACTGGAATGGCATTAACTGCTGTATTTACAAATGAACTCCATCCTAGGAACTTGGCAGTTCAATTAAAACACGTAAGCCAGGATGGAAAGTTACAGACATGACTGAATTGGTGGCCTTAGCTGAACATTTTGAGAAGACTCTAGAGCAAGAAAAAACCCAAAAGGCTAACAATCTTATGCCTCTCCAATTATAACAGTTACCGGGGCCAAGACCAAAGAGACCTTCTCATTTTTATTTTAAATCACAAGCAGGAGGTCCAGAATAAGGAATGCCTTACCCCAGGGTAGATGCCTTCATTGCAAACACCCAGGACACTGGGAAAGGTGGACTTTTGTCTCAGTCCACCACCAAGCCTCCTCCCTTTAGGCTGAACTGGTTCACCACTAGAGGGGACCCAAGAGATTTTAACGCTCAGGATAATAAAAATAGACAAGGCTCAGGGATTCTCTGGTAAACTGCTCCCCAAAATACCTTTAAATAAACATAGAAAAACAAGACTTAAGCTGGGAATCCTGTGCAATGCTGGTGTATACCAGGGTCACCTTATCCAGCATAAACCCTACTTTAATAAGCCAACGAATCTCTTGGAGTGAAAAGATCATCTCTGTGATGAGCGTTTCAAATCAAGTTCAAGAGGCTTCTGTATCTGAACCTGTCTAATCAACTTGGGGCTATTTGCAGTAAAATGTACCTTTCTACTATGTAATACTGATCCAGTAAACTTGCCAGGGCAGGACTTTCAAAGTTGAAAGGGCACATACAATTCTCCTCAGAGGGAGAAGCAATTGTAGAGATTCCTGAGTCTCCTGAACCAGAACGGTTGTGCTCTCTACAGACAAATCGATAAGATCAAAACTCAGGCCCATAACGAAACACCTTTCTAAAACCCCGGAATATTTATGGGTCTGTACCTCAAATGAGAGAGAAAGAATTAAAAGTGTGGAGTCTATAAAAGTCCAAACTGGTCATTCTAAGTCTTTCCTTAAATTACTGCAATATACACTAAAACTTAATGAAATTAAAGGGCTCTCA